TCCCTCAACACCGTTAGCTATGTGAGCATCATGGCTCATGGCTGCCAGATCATTCCATCCAACTTACCCAAATTCTCTCAAAATCTTTCAATTACATTTTTTCAAAATTGTTCCTATTTGAAGTTTGATTAGATTTTTTTATTTCAATGTTCAATTTCTAATTCATGGTTTTAGATATGTGTGAGTTTTAAAATTTGCTTATCTTTCAACAAATTTAATGAATTAAGTCAATTAACCAGCTCTATTTAACTTTGGTAAAATGATAGGGAAAGTAGGAGCCGAATAATATATATTAATCTCAGTTTTTAATATAAGATCTAATTGACTAATTTGGAAAATTAAAAAAGTTAGTTAAGGTAATTATTTTTAATAAATACATGTTATATTCTCCAAAATACCCTTATTACTCGTATGTGTTTTTCAGCCCAAAAAAAATCATGTGCGATTGAATTACTTATTGATAGTAATCCCTTAACATATACAATTATTATAAGAATTATTTGTGGGTAAAATAGATAAATATTAGAGATAAAATAGATTGTCGTCTTATATTTAAGATTAAACTAAAAATCAAATTATCTCTTAAGAATAGAAGGCTGTAAGTAAAAGTCAGACGCTTCAGAAGCATTAAATGCCAATTGATTTCCATTATGATATGAAGCATTAAATGGCTTAAATGCCAATTGAATTTAAAAATCCAATAGCATAGTTTCATACTTCCTCCTCTTTTTCTTGTTATAATAACCCATTTACTAATTCACACATACTAATGAAATTAGTTTAAAGCATTAAATTTATCATAAAATTTAAGTAATTTCTAATATTACGTGCATTAATTATAGGGGAATCTAATTTGAAGATCCTTACAGTTTTTATCAATTTTGAATCAAGACTCTCTACTTTTTTATTTTATTTTATTGGGTCTTTTAATTTTATAATGTTAAATATATTAGTCCCTTAAAGTTAAATCTGTCAACAGTGTTAAATTTTCCGTTAGCTCAAGTCTGAAACATTTCCTTCCACCATATCTACCCAAGCTCTCCTCTCTTTTTCATTCTTTCCTTAATTTCGTCTCTTTACTCATTGTCTTCCTATTGATAATTGGCTTACCATTGCTTTCAACCTCTCCATAATTTTAGCTATAAATTTAATTTTGCTTGGCCAGAGGAACCTAGATTCTCGTAGTATTTTATTTTTACCTCTATGGATGATTCTGCAACAGTACTTGTTTTTTTGGCTCAAAAGAATCACCCACCCCTTTTCTTCTCACAAACCTGACACTTTGTCTTTTTTCATACTTTTCTTGTTATCGTAATTCCAAACGGGGGTTCAAGCTGGATGGCCATGGACAAGTGACTGCGAGGTGGCTGAAGAGGGTCCTGGTGACATTACAACCAAGGGAAGAGAAGGTATTAGGGAGAGGTTAAAAGCAACGGTGAGCCATTTATTAGTAGGAAGAATGATGGATAAGAAAATAAACTTGTTTTTTTTTTTTTTACCAAAGAAGATAAACTTGTTGAATGAATGAAGGAGAGGGGAGAGCTGGGTCAGATATGGCGGAAGGAGAGAGAGGGCAAAGATGTTTCTGACATGACTAACAAAAAATTTAACACTGTTAATAGATTTAACTCTAAATGACTAATAGGTTTAACATTATAAAATTAAAGGATCCAATAAAAAGAACAAAAAGTATAAGGACTTGATCCAAAATTGATGAAAACTATAAGGATCTTCAACTTAGTTTTTTCTTAATTATATTAAATTCTAACATTATACTGATTTTTATTCTCTTACTATCTTTATTAAATATGAGCATATATAAAGAAAATTATCTACAGTTAACATAATTTTTTTAAATTAATTTATTAAATTTGAAGCTATTTAAAAAAATACATAAGTTGATTGGTAAATTTAGCAGAATGATTTAGTCATTAAATACTAGAAAAATGTCATTTAGTCATCGCAGTGTATATGAAGAGGGTTTCATGCCTAGCATTAAAGTCCCGAGAAGTTTATAGTGCAAGGGAATTAATCATTACTATCCGCGATAGATATCCTAGGATCAAATTTTAAAAAAAGTGATATAATGTACGGATTGGATTTTATTAAAAATATTTAATTTTTTAATGAGGGAAAAATTGTAGAATAATTAAGCTTATTTAAAGTTTATTAGGATTAAGACTTTTTAAAGATAATAAAATAAAATTCAATCAATCGGTATAATACACAGTATAATATATGTACGCGCATGTGACTAGAGGCCAAAGGGTCAAACATTCAAATGATACATAACAAGTGGAAAAATATAAGAACTGCATGTAAATACACGTCTCTATTTCAACCCTTAGTACCTAATATTTTTTCCAAAAAATATTGACGCAAATCTTCACCATACAATTGTATCTTTGTGCATCAAATTCCCACCAACCTTACATACGGTATAAAAACCGTAATTCTTTCCTCTTAAAGCATTACCCAAAACATGACATTAAGGGATTGAGGTAGATAATGTCAAATTAATTATGTATATATGAAGTATTTTAAAGTATTAGTACATAATTTATAAGAACAAAAATATGAATTCTATTTTTTTAATTTAATTGTTGATCTTTTCTTTTCTTTTTTCTTTTTTGAGTTATATGTTTTATGTTGTTGAAGGAAGTTCAAAAAAGATATTTAACTCCACAATTAAAAGCTTAATAGAATGTATCAAAATAAGGAAAAAAAGAACTGATCTTCAAGTAGAACTGAAGTTTGAGGCATGAAATTTAATAATAAATTTTTCACCTGATGCCTAACGAATAACTGTCAATTGGCTTTGGGCGGTTTTTATGAAGCACTTTTTAATACTATTGAGTGTGTTAATTTTATTTTAGCTGATAATAATGACTGTATCATGGAAGATTGTGTACTGAAACTGCAGATGATGTGAATCAAAATGAAAAAAAAAAATGTTTTCGGGCTAGTGCAATTTATAATACTCATCGTTTGTAACCGAATTTTTATACTAATCCTGAGCTTAGAAGTTCTCTCATTAATGTTTTGCTTAAATTACTTGTAGGAGAAAAATCCTCACATGCATTTACAAATTTTACATATGATTTGCTCTTGGCACAGTAATAAATGATAAATAAAGCTACTAAATAAAATAAAAAATTCTAATAAAAGATAAATAAAATAGTTATAGTATATGTTTAGTCCTTTTAAGTTTACATGAAATTTCAATTTAGTCTGTTAAGTTTAAAAGTGTATTTTTAATTTTTTAAATTTAACACCGTTACTAACAGGAAATACTGACATGTTCATTTTTAATTTAAAATACGTAAATTAAAAATATTTAAAATAAAATATAATTAAAGGTTCATCAAATATATGAGTAAATATTCCATATGGTTGAATTTTCTAACATGATTATATAGGATTTAGCATTACTCTTAAATTTTCATAAATAATTTAAAAAATATTTATATTGTAACTTTTCAAACTTTTTTATGATCATATTTTTAAATTATGATATTGGATCTAGCATAAAATTTAATAATAACATTAATCTTTGAAGTAATTATAATTTTAAAATTGTTCTAATATAAATTTTTAAGAATAATTAGATAATTTTTTAATCATAAAAGTAACCAAAAAATTATTTATTTCATAATTATTAAACTGCATACAAATTATTGATAAAAGATCGTAAGGTTTTGTTTTAAATATTTCCTAATTTACATACTTTATATTAAAAATTAATACGCCAGCATTTAAATACTGAGTTATCATTTTAAAATCATTCAGTAAGAATTTTCCGTTAGTAAAGTTAGCAGTGACAAGTTTACGAAAATCAAATGACTAAATATATACTTTAATTTAAATAGAATTCCAAAACATTATCAATTCAAGACCCACCACAGAGCGCGCTGATTTTTGAAGTGATAATTCGTCCTTATCATTCCAAATTTAAAGTTCTTAATTATTAATTTTTTAAGTATATTTATATTTTTATATCTTGCTTCTACTAAAATGAATATATATAATATTAGAATTGATAAGCCAAAAATGTTTGCTTAATAATTTGCTTAAACATGATCAAAGTTATATGCACTTCGGGTTTGTATCAAAGTTAAACTCAATTCTTTATTCTACTTTTCATCTATCATATGTCCTGTCTATACAAGCAATAATTCTTTGTCATCACGTTCAATTAACTTTACAAAGAATGGCAGGTTACATTGTTCTTGAAACACGTCAAAAGCAATGGGGTATAAATTTACACAAGTTGGCACAAGATAAATGCATTTCGGGTTGACCTTACTTGATATCTTTAAATTTTGTTTTTGCATATCTCTTTACCTCAACATTCATACTTTCACTAATTTGTGTGTTTCTCATATTTAGTGTGAGAACGTCCTTTATGTAGCATCTAGCTTATTTCTCCGTAATATTATGAGTACAGTTCAACCACCCATTTTCATGGACACTGTAAAAATATAACAAATCATCCACACTCCTTCAAACTTATCCATTTGAAAAGAACCAAGCATGCATTTTTTTAAGTTAGTCAAAAAAGTGAGTCTTCTTTCATCAAGTTCTCTAGGCACTCGATGCCATTTAGCAACAAATGCCAAGTGCACAAACAATATCTTGCACTAGGAAGCACTTCACTCAAATGCCCAAGCCATAGCTTGTTCCTAGTCAATAAACATAGTATTAGGCTTACTGCCGAGATGAAAGATTTGTCTATTTTTGAAGAGCCTAGTAGAGACGATGTTTCTCGGCACTTGAACTCATTCCTAGCATTATCCAAACGAGGAAAACATTGCTTGGCAATTGAATGACTCATTCCTAACTTTCTTGAAATGGCGCGCATAGATGAGGAACTCTTGTTGCTCATCATTATGCTTAGACAAAAATGAGACCTCTAAAAGGTTAGACTGTATCAGTCCCTCCTCAAACCCAACTGAAATGAAACTACAAATAAACTTGACACAAAAAGGCCAGTCCTCTCCTTAGCGAAGACTCCCAAAACTGAGATTAACTCACTCTATTGGCAGATACAGATCTTCTAGGGTCAATAATATGTGAAGCTGGCAAAGTTAACAATAGTACCATTATAACATCCACATTTTGCATTCAACTTCAGAGGATCTATTCTACTCTAACAGCTGCACCTACCCTTCGGTTATTTATAGACCCTGGTATACGGCTGGCAGCAGCCGCCTTCTCTGAGCTGGTACCTCAATTTGAGAAGTAAGACCATCTTTATCGTACTCTACAAGGTTTTGCACATATATCTTCAACGTGTCCAGTCCCTAGGTTCTAGTTTTTGTCGGATCAGTGCATGCATCATGTCTAAGGTCTGGTGTCCATGTCTCTGCTCCATGGGAAAAAAAATTCATAAGCTGGTCTGACAAACAGAAAGCAGCTCTTGAGTAAAAAGCATCATAGGAACTAACTATACACAGATTTCAATAGACACAGCATTTTCAATTTCATCAATATGAATTATTTGGTCAGCATATGGAATTATTGCTTGACTAGAATACCTCAAAAGTACCTTTTAAGCATAAATCAACTTCCACCGTGCTTTTCTCAAGTATGAAGCACCTCATATCCTATTTTGGCCAAATGAGATAAAAATGTCTGCCTACTTGAACCCATTTCAAATTTAAGCAATGAAACACAATCAAAACAATTCAAGCTATAAGAGTCAAATACGTGTTTTTAGGTTACTGGTGAACTAACTCTATAACAGATAACACTCCATGCACATTTAAGAATGTTTCAGCATTTGGAAGTATTAAATTCAGCAAGCATGTGACACATAGTAAGTGAAACCATAATCTCCATAGTAAGTATGACGGATGTAAAATATCTGTCATCCAAACATTTATCAGATAAAAAATGAAGTAGGTTAAATTCAAATGTCCAGTAAATCATATTAAAAACTGTTAAGACTTTTTTTCCCATACGAACATGTGACAGTCATTTGTACTAGCTACAAGGAATGAGAAGACAAAGGATCACTTATCCTTACTTAATTGGATCCATGTGCATGCCAAAGATCAAGGGACATGCCTCTATATAAGAGGATAGGGCGTATAGAATTCTTAGGTAGTCTGCTATAAATGTCTTATTCATAAATGGTTCATATATCCATGATTCTCTGGTATATTTTTTTAATTCTATTTAGAAGAATATGAAGGAATTGAGGCCTAAAAACACTATTCCAACATCTTTAAAGACATCTAAGAATGCTATATACTAATATAATCAAGAAATCTAGGAATTTTGATAGCCTATTGGGCAACAAAGAAGAAAGAAAAAGAATCTTCCTAGCGCATGTTAAATGTCAACAACATACTGAACAAGTCTTAAGTGCATTTCACTATAACCTAAGAAGTGTTTATATCAGAAGCTACTGGAATGGAAAGTCAATGTAGCAATACAAGGACATCCAAATTGATCCACTTAAATGACCAAAACAGCATAGAAACCGATACTATATGTTTAGACATATGGCAACTATATGCTCTGGCTTACAAGCACAAAGGTTATATCGTAAGTTATTAAATTAATTTACTATTTGGGTTAGAAGCTCCGGATCAGTAAACATGAAGGGATTAAGTCTCTTTACCATCAATTAACTCACCCATTTCATCACGCGAAATGAAAAACTTGGCTAAAAGAATGTTTAAGTGCAAACTTTTTGTATAATACACAAGACTCAAGGCATAGGAAATGTGAGATGAGTGCAAATAAATGTAAACTGTCACCTTGCATCACAATACTAAACAACATATACATAAAGTTTGATAATCCCTAATAAGTATATTTCTATCGTAAAGTTCTCGACCAATTAGCAAGAAATTGCGAACAGAGTTGAAACATACAGCTTACTTGTTCTAGTCTTTCCATTCAGCAATCATGTTTTCCAACAAAAGTGAAATCCTCTTCAGACCCGCAACATCTACACAACCAAAAGCGTCATTTAGTTCCTTTGCCTCCTTTATCCGAGCCTGCCTCAACAATCCGCGATATACACAATCCTTCGAATCGCAAGTAGGCGCCGTGTTAGCCCCCACCATAGCCCTCAAAACCTTCAAACCCTCAAGAACGAAGCCTTTTCTACAAAACCCATGAATGAAAATCCCATAAATTTTCTCATCTGGCGAGCACGGGGAGTCAGGCCTCTGTATCCAATTGAACACTTTGAGGGCTTCTTTGTATTTATACTTGTTAAAATACGAAGTGACAAGCATAATGATGATGGGTCTAAGATAAGGGTATGAAGGTGGAGTGAACTTGAGGCGCGTGAGAAGGGACATGGCGTGGGTCATGTCAGGTTGGGAAGCAAGAGAATCGATGAAGACGGAGATGGAGAGGGATTTCAGAGGTGGGTTCGCAAGGAGGGCGGTGGTGGTGAGATTAACAGCTGTGGCGAGTTGGTTTGAGTCGCAGAGGCGAGGAATGAGGAGGTTGATCTCTGTGAGCTCCTCATCGGTGAGAATGCGCTCTGTGGAATCGGATTGAAGAGGGGACTCCCCTGAGGAAGAAAGAGAAGAATAGAAGGGCGATGCGAGAAGCTTATGGCAGAGTGAACCGAAAATGGCAATGGCTTTTGACGGAACACCGGGAAAATGAAGCCGCCGGAGTGAACTCATTTCGCGTCACATGCCCAGATCATGCGTGGGTGCTTGAAATAAAATTGAAATGAAACAAAGCAAGGGTTACCGATTAACAATTTCAAAAAGACAAGAACAACAACACAGAGTTGCTAATCTATTATTGATTCTTAGATTTTATCTACACTAAATTAATTATACTTAAATTTAATTAGTTAATCTAGAATATTAGTAGTTAAAAGTGTCTATTGGTTCATTTATAACCCTATCTCTATTAATTATGTAATCTCTCATACAATTATATAAGGTCCAATTTAATCTAATTTCACTCTAATTTGATTACGTGGAACCTTTAGGTATATGTCTCCAACTCCACATTATTTAATCTCACGGTCTGTTTAAGATTTTATTTGTCAAATTCAATCCTAAATTTTCAAAACAAACTCAATGTTGGCCAAACACTAAGCAAGTTAAAATTAAATACAGGATTAAGTACACTAGATTAAAAATTAAGCATAACCAAACGGTGGGAATAATCTCTGATTCACATACAACTTCATGGTACTTTAGGTTGCAAAACAAGATTAGCTACGTATGACTTTAGGCAATTCCGATTCAGCAACAATGATTTCAAAACAAGATGACATAATGGAATAATAGAATAATGTTAACAGTTGGAATGAAAAATCTGAACAAGGGAATGATGGAAGTAGAATAATTGTAAACTAAACAAGAACCAAGTCTCCAGCAACGGTAGCTCTGTTCCAGCTCGACAATGCTTCCTTCCTACTAGAACCATTCGGTCCAGAGAAGAAGAAGAAAACGTCGATGAACCAGATTCGGTCTCCAGCCAAGCTCCAGCATCAACGGCGTTTCTCCTTAGGTCCAGCGAATCAGAAAAACTACCCAAAATCGTCCTGCCTCCTCTACGAGAAGATGATGAGCAATGATCTCCCTCTAGTCCAAAACAAGCGTCGGCGACGTCCTTTCATCTTTGATCTTCTCCACTGAACCCATTGACCAGAGCCCCCAAAGCCGCGGAAGAGGAAGATTGGAGGAGATGATGGACAGTCCGAAAATGCAGCCTCTGTTCCCAGGACTTGTTCCCTCTCCCCACCAGTTCGGCGCCTTCCTTCTTAGAGTGTTTGGCAACCTCCAAACCATGGTTTTAAAAGTATTTTTTTGTAAAACGAGACAAATTCCTCTACATATTTACTTTGTAAACCATAAAAGCACTTCTGAAATCATGGTTTGGTTTCTATCCAAACACCCCCTAAGACGATGATGAATAGCCCTCCAGGTCTCCCCTGATCCAAAAATTGCTTCCCCAAAACGTTGTCGTCCCAATCTCCACAATCTACACATGCTCCCCGTGACTCCAATCAAGTATAGCTGGGAATACGAGTCAACCCGCAGGTTGTGGACCAGCCCGCTACAACCTGCGAGTTATGCGATGCGGGCTGGAGCAACCCGCATTTTGGCGAGCTGGGAAAATCCTAACCCTAACCCGCCACAGCAGGTTAGCGGGCCAACCCGCCATCTTTTTTTTTTTTAATTCTTAATTTTTAAATCTCATTTTTATTTAATTTTTTAAATTAATAAATAATGATCTAAAATTTTAAAAGCAATCACAAGTATAAATTATGTTTAACCATATTTAAAATAGTCAATATTAATATAAAACAATACATTACAAATATTTTACATGATTAACATTCAACATCAACTCATCAAGTGATAAATTTTATAATTTTTTCCATACAAATGTGATGTTTGATACAAAACACTATCTCATAATAAATTAGAAGTGCATTTATCTCTTTTTTTTTAAAGTTCATTTATCATGTTTTTCTAAAACACTTGTTTTTGTAATAAATATTACCTTATATTTGATTGTAATTATTAAATTTTTGCTATAAATATATTATGCTTATTTTTTAAAAATATTTTTTATTTATATATGTATTATGTAACATGAAAATTGAAATCTAAATAAGAGAAGAAAATTTTCAAATATAATAACATATTATTTATGTGAAAATTTTTTTTTAAAAAAAAGGTGGCGGGTTAGGCGGGCTAACCCACCAACCCATGGGTTAGCCCACCACAGCCTGCGGGTTATGCGGTACAGGCTAGAGCAGCTCGCATTTTGATGGGTTGGCAAAATGCCAACCCTAACCCGCTCTTTTATGGCAGGTTGACGGGCTGACTCGTGGGTCCTAACTCATATTCTCGACTCTATATTTAAGAATGGCCTAAACGGTGCATTTATGCTTGTTGAAGGGAGAAGAACATAAAACAAATAAAAGGAAAAGAAATAAACTATAAGAAATTGAAAGAAGATAAGATAAAATCAAATAAATCTTAAACTTAATATTAATTATTTTAATTTATTTGAAACCAAGATATTTATAAGATAATCCCCCAAATAATACCCATAATCAGATCTTCCAATTAATTTTTAGAAATCTCTTAAAATATATTGATAACTCTCCAAAAATCACTCAAAATATTCTTTAAATATATTAAAAATAAAGAGTTATCAATGCTCATTTCACTTGCCCTTATGAGTTGTACTAAGGAAAGATAAAAATAGCCCAAGTTTATTATTCAAAAATAAAAATTAAATTTTTTTTATTTTTGTGGCAAATAAAAAACAACTCCTTAAGAAGAAATTTATACATGCAATCCTCCCTTCCATTTAGAAGTCAACTTCAAGTTGACTTAACAATAAATTAAGAATTTTTTTATTAAAAAAATTACAAGGCATAACAATAACTCATAAATATATTTGTTATAAGGGTTTTTGTTTGTTTGTTTAGATGATTACTATAATATTTAAATGGATATATTTAGTTCTTAAAAAAAAGGATATAATCAGCACTTCTAAGGAATTAATTAAAAATTGAAGAGAAGCCAAACTCGTTCCATGTCAGTTTCTTGTTTTAGTATTTCTTTCTTGGCGCAGAAACTCTTATTTTCTTGTATTTTCTAATGGAAACCCACATAGACAAGTGTGATGAAAAGTTCAAGGCCTACCAAAACTACTATAATGAAATGGAATTCGTCAAATGCAAAGAAGTATATAAAGAATTGAAGGTACCGCAAACAGATTTGTAGTTATGATGTATTGAGAGTTTAGTTGGATTTAATTTCTCTATCCGTATAAATAATGATCAGTACTTATTTTCAAGATTTATGGGCTGTTTTCACTAGCCTCCTGCCAACATTTGTCAAAACACCAAATGCTAAAGAAAATTGAATGAAAAGTGCCATGGTCCTTTTGTATCCTCCTTTTTACATATAATAATTATCGAGGAGCTCTCCAATGTTTCCCTCTTTTTTTTTGGTATCAGAACCATGAGTTATTTAAAATCTTTAGATGTGCTTGTGAAAAATCTTGGTATTAATGGAGCAGTAAATTTGAAATACTTTTTTACCATCTTTGTGACAAGTCTAGACATGAAGTTGCAAATTGCTTTAATAGGTTTGACTAAAACTACAAAAGTTATAATGGAGGTGAAAATGTTTATGCCCATGTTGCTACTCCTGAAACCGCCAATGATCATGCATGGTATTTCGATACCAAGACTACTCATCATATGACTCATGATTTCATAGATTGATTAGATTAATTTCAAAGCAATTCACAAATTGTTGTTGTTAGAAGGGAATTCATAATTCTAAGCTTTTATTCTCTAATCAATTGATTTCACCTTGGTCTTGTGATTAGCTTGCCAAATATTTGTGTTTATGAACCTGAGAGATCATTAATTTAATTAGTATCTATAATTTCTAGGGCAGATAACAGAGAATGGTATTTTTGTGGCTATCAAAATAGAAAAGCTAGAAACATTTGAGAAGGAATTCTTGCGATTGAAATTTTATTACTCTGATGACTGGTAAGTATTCTTGGCCTTTTTTCCTGTTTATGATTTTTTTTGCCATTATGATGATCAAACCCGCTACATATATAAAGGACATTAATTTATGAGGTAGTTTTTATAACTTTGCACAAGCATCTTCAATGAGAGCTTGCTATGCATTCTTGTAAAGGCATAAAAATACCTCATAGCAACATCAATAGAGCAACATTTGGGATTAAACCCATCCGGCTCTAGGTACCATATGTTTTAGTTAGTTTTACAACTTTAATTTACCTCTTGTAAGGAAACAAGCAATTAACAGACATGATTCTGATATCCATAAACCCATTGAATATGATTGTCTTTAAGAGTGCTAACGAAGTTAAAGACATTTTTTTTTACCAAAAAAAGTCTTTATTAAGTCTGGCTCTTTGAGCCTAAGAAATCTTCTCACATTCATACTAGAATTTAGTCCTTAAAATGAATCCCATCATTTATGCCAAGTAAATTAAACTTCTTTTGCAAATTAAGGATCATATGTTCCAACAAACAAATATTGCTTTCAAGTTCAAAATGGTACATAGTTTATTTTTCACAATACATGTGATAAAAGAAAAATACATTTAATTTTAGAAAACAAACATGAAATTGAAAAATAAAAAAATGTCCCACTAATTTGAACATTTACATGGCAGGCCCCTATAAAGATATCAAAAATTTATTTATTTTTTTGGGATAAAATGCTCAGAATATTTGCCTCGCATATGGAGTGGTTTAGCCTATTAAGGGGAAAGTTAGCTTCTGTTTTTATTTATTATTTGGGCTTTAAGCCTTTTGTCCTATTTTGGATCAAAAGACCCAAAATATAAATGTGGTTGATGTTCTCACTTTTATATTCTGAAAGTTAATTTTCCACTATTTTTTTTTCCAATTTTCTTTTTCTGACTTATATTTTTCTTGCATATTCACCACATAAGGCTTGCATAAAAGCATCAAGAGGGGTAATCACATGATTAGGCTAGTTAAAAAATTATAAAAAAATATATTAATATAATTTTTTGTCCCTTAATTTTTTATTTATTTATTTTTTGTTCATTAAATTTCGAACTATAGGTTTTGATTACTTAAGTTTTTCTTTTATTTAAAATATAAGTCCTTATAACTCAATAAAAA